CAAAATCAATTTTTTTTTAATTTGCCCGTTTTGCTAAACTAATTTTTGTTTGTGCCCCTTTTTCCATACTAATATTTTTTCTTTTCTAATAAACCCCAATGCATCGCAACTTTTGTACCCTTTCCTAAGCTGTCCTCTTGATCATTGTGCCTTTTTCGGTCAAAAACTACATTTACTTGCAATGTTTAATCCGCAGCAAAATGTTAGTGAACTATAAGTATAACATAAGCAAATTATAAGTAAATTTTAAGCAAAATATATGTGAACTTACTTATCATGTTCTTTTCACCATTATTATTACTCATGAATCTGTAACAATGACCCACTTGTTATCTTTTAACCGTCAAGTCGAAAAGGCTTTTTCTTTTCTTGTAAACATCTAACTCAGTTTATTAATTTGTAAAAAGGATGATATAGAAATTTAATTAGCCATTTCGGCGGTTTAAAAAAAGCGTGAGCTTTCTTTAACAAAACTGTTGCTTCCTCGATTAAGATGTCTCAAAGACGCATTGTGGGAGATTTACCACATTGATTACTCTGCCAAGTTTTTGCTTGTTAATTAGATTTTCTCATTAACACCTTCGGGTCCATTTATACAACTTTAAGGACATGAAATTAGCTGAAAATCTGAAAATCTCTGCTTGAAGAGCTCAAATAATTCGCTTTACTTTCGCACATCAAGACAAGAGATATGGTCTCGTATAATCTCGAGTTGTCAATCCCACATTGGTAGACTTCTTATCCTCGTGGTGACTGGTGACTACTATAGTACTATTAAAATTATACTGTTATTTAAATGTTTTCTAGGTCATTGTCATTTTAAATATTTTATGTAATCAAAATGCAAGTAGTGGCAAGTGGACTGATTTATTTAGGTGTCGGTAAAATTTTGGTGATAGATACTGAAATTCGTTCCATTGTGTAACGCTTGGTCCGGAGGAATCCAAAGAAAGGATCAGCAAAATCTGTGTTACACAAGCTATGGAAACCTCCGGACCTTGCCATATGTGTTTGCTAGTCAAACTCCACTTGCTTTCTATTTCGAATCACAACCTTTTTGCATGAATTTGGGTCAGATTTACGTACAAAGTTGTGGTTGAGATTAGAGATTCTTCAGGAACAAAGTGTTTTGGAGATTCCCAGATGCAAGAAAAAAAGCCGAGGCTGAGCATGCAGCGCAAGGAGCCCTTTGGTATCTTAAGCACGTAAGGCGAAACCGGAGAAAGCCGAATGAGTAATCATCATCTAGGCAGATGAAGTAACAGGAGAACATTGTAGAGTCTCTATATAGTTGTAAAAAGATATTACTATCGGTTAATTCATTACTATAGAGGGTTGTACTTGTACAGTGTTGATCAGTTTCAGAATTCACTGAGAGTGAGAGTTGATATGTAATGATAATAATTTCTTTAACTTGTATCTCAATCCTTGTTCCATTATACTTCTCCCCATGTTTATTAGTGAAGGCCTAGAATTGAGTGAAGAACCTATTAACTATTAAAGCCCAACATTGAGCCCAGACGACTAAACCGACCTTATCATATATCTACTAAACGTCGTCGTTCGTTTTTATTTTCACTTTCCTCTCTCTTACTGCAACTTTTGCTCTAGCAAGAAAACTAAGAAATACTCCACTTGATTTTGATTTTGGAGGTGGAACTTTGTCGATTTATGTCTTCAAAATGGGGGTAATCGGAGTGACGTTCCCTGGAGTTTTTCCGGAGTAAACGACGACAAGTCGATTCCTTTCCCTTCCGATGAGTTCTGGGGTTCCTCCGGAGTTGCAGGATCCGGTTCAGCTGGTGGTGGAGAGGGCAAATGGCCGGAGGAGCCTAAGCGATGGAATATGAATGAGGAAGAGGATAAGGTTGTGTTCGATACCGGCGGAGAGGTGCCGGAAGGGATTGAAACTGGCCGCGAGAGGAGAGGCAATGGCTGGGAGGAGAGTAAGCGATGGGATATGAAGGAAGGAGATGAGAAACCCGTGTTCGGTGCCGGAGGTGAGGCTGCGAGTGGTTTCGGAACCAGTGGAGAGGTGAAATTCAATGAATGGGATGCGTCTAAGCCATGGAGTTTAAAGGATGAAGATGACAAGGTTGTGTTTGATACCGGCGGGGAGATTCCGCTGAGCTTTGAACCCAGCTTGGAAGATGCGGAGGAAGAGCGTGCGAAGAAGGAGGCGATGGAGAAGGAGGAGAAAGAGCTCACTGAGATCATCAAAGGTGAGAGATTCCTGAATTTGTTAGCTGATTCTTTAATTTTACTTTGCAATGCACGAGTGGTTAGGAAATGTTTATAGATTTGGAATCAGGAGACATATGTGTAGCTCATAATGACGATTAGATTAGATTCTGATTTGGATCATCATTGGAATAGCAATGTTGTGTAAATAGTGTATTGATAGGCATGTTTGCTGTGTGAATGAGTGCTTAATGTGTGGTTTCTGGCTAATGAGTTTGCTGTTAGTAATGTTCAGTTTTGCTGTTAGTAAAACAGGCACGAAACTGATTTGGAAGTTATACTATTGCAGGGCCTGATCGTGCATTTGGAGACCTTATCGCAAAGTCGGGTATAACAGATGAAATGCTAGATAGTTTGATAGCCTTAAAGGATTTCCAAGGAGTCGAAGGATTGCCTCCTCTGACCGAGATTGAAAACATGCGCCGTGAGAAGAGTTCGAAGAAGTCCTCGAGAGCTGAGATAGAGCTCCAGATGCAAGAGGAAATCGCCAAGTCAAGGGTCAGACAAGTGGATGAAACAGGTAGAGCCTATGGAACGGGGAGAAGAAAATGCAGCATTGCTCGTGTTTGGATCGAACCTGGACAAGGAAAATTCCTTGTGAACGATAAAGAGTTCGATGTTTATTTCCCTATGCTTGATCACCGCGCTGCTCTTCTCCGCCCGCTTGCTGAAACCAAAACCTTAGGAAGTTGGAATATTAAGTGCACTGTTAAAGGCGGTGGTACTACAGGTAAAAAACCCTCAACTATATCACTCAGAGCTCGAATTTCTCTATTTACACAACTAGAAGATATGATTTATACGCTAGAGGTTTTGGTGAAAGCATTTAGTCTGTTTTAAACTGTGGTTAACCGTGAACTCCAATGTTTGGTGTTAAGGTCAAGTTGGAGCTATTCAATTAGGTATCAGCAGGGCATTGCAAAACTGGGAACCAGATATGCGTACAGCACTTCGAGCTGGTAAGCAAGATACTTACTATACGCATCTTCAGCAAAGATGCATCATATCTGTGTGATCGATGTTTCCATTGGGTTTGGTCTTGATCGTTTTTTGAATCTTGTATATGTTTCAGTTGGTTTTTTGACAAGAGACTCTCGAGTTGTGGAGAGGAAGAAACCAGGGAAAGCCAAGGCAAGAAAGAGCTTCCAGTGGGTCAAACGTTAAATCGGAGTACTCGAACAATATCTTCTCTTCGGGGGTCATATTCAATCAATGAGTTGAGAGAATTTTGATATAATGTGATTTGCGGTTTGAGAAGATTTTGCAAATTTCTTGTTAAACGTTTGTTTGAATAATGTGTAATGATCATTTGTTTGAAAACTTTTACCTTTTCTCTCCGAAAATTTAATGATAATTTTTCTTGTAAAGTGTTTGTGTTTGGAGATCAGTAGTGTGCATGATTAACGAAAATATAATATCAAATGTAGATGGTTATCAAATTAACCCATTTTATAGTTCTTATCGATATTATAGAAAAAACTACATAAATAGATTTTGTTTTTTTTTTCTTTCAGATGTGTGAAAAGTTGACATGAATGTTACAAGAAAATAAAAAAGGAAAAAAATAATCAATTTTTATCACTCAACATAGTATTTAAATATATTTTGTTGATGAGCTTGGATTAATAATTTATATAAATAATTAATCCAATAACCTTGGATTTTGTAATGATTTTTATAAAAATTAGATCCAGTAAAATTTGATTTGGAAAAGAAAAAAAAATCTCTCAAATCACTAATTCAATAAGCTTTCATTGGTCTCTTTCTTCAGATTTATTGGAAAAGAATCGCATGCAAATAACTTGTTCTTTATTGTATGAGTAAAAAATGTGGGTTTCGTGGGGTTTCCGAGTCATGACACATTGATGTTTAAACTTAGTCATTACTAACCAAAACTATATTATCACACATAAATTTATTAGCATACGTATCAAACCCATTAAATTACTTTTATTTCAAAATTATTTTCAATAAATAGTTTATATTGCTTATTCCGTGCACAAAGCACAGTTTACCATCTAGTCTTAATTCATTTTTGTTCAAATATGCTGAATTCGACTTATCTGATAATCTGTCAAGATGAGTCGAATTCAGCAGTTACACATGCATCCATATATAAGGATGGAGGGTATATACTTGTTATCAGATTATCAGATGATTCCAATTGGTATGAGTATCTCTCGTAGTATAGTCAAACAAGAATGTATGTCATTTGGTTTATATATTTTTCCAATTTCAAAAACCAAAAGATGTTACTGAAAACCAAACTAGATAAACTCTCTAATCACACCATCCAAATTTGGCAAACATGGACTATGAGTTTTTCTTTTTTTGTAAAATGATATGGACTATGAGTTTGTGTAAAGACTTTCCATAAAAGGGCAAGAGATAGATTTTGACATTTTGTTTATAACATTTTTTCAGCCACTTATTATAATGGTCTTGTTTCATATTACGTACAAGCATCCACACATTTTTTTTTCTCAACATTTCTTCACTCCCACTACAAGTAGTAACAAAATTAACAATTTCCCAACAAAATCCTTGGATATCCTTTTTTCTAGCGAGGAAAAAACAAAATGATTTATCTGATTTTCATTATAACAATAAATATTTCGCATGAAGAACTATATAATAAAAGGAAAACTTCTTGTTGTTCTCATTTTCTTCTCCCAACATCTTGAACCAAAAGCTCTTCAATTCGATAAAACAGTTCCTGTAGAGGATACATACATTTTAATACGTCCAAGATCTGGAGGATGGGTGTAAAAGTTTCATCTAAGATCAAACGGATTCTCGCATCCACAGGTTTAGGTCCTATAGTCTTTTTCTGTTTACTCTCTAATGCAATTTAATATGTAAACTCACGAAGAAAATAAATATTCGAAGTTGAATTCCTTCTAAAACGTTCTCTATTGATTTCACACAGCTTATTCGGGGAATTCAAGTCCCAAAGATGGTGATGACGTGGATGTCCGGGAAGAATATGCAAACGCCTTCCGTACAGAATCATACAATCAGTTTTGGACACGTGTTATCTACTTAAGCCGCAAAAAGTCCACGACGTCTTCTTCTTCTTCTTCACCCGCCGAATCTTCCTCCACGTCAGCTCGTCTTATGTCATACCGCCTCTTCGCACAAAATCTCCTAGACCCGGACCCGTACACCGTCACACGAATCCTGGATCTAGCCCGGGTCGGACGATCCACCCGAGTTCTTCTCTCTGATTACTTCTTGGAGACGGCAAACACTTTCTTGTTATGCACGTTATTACTTAAAAACATCCATCGTCTCCGTTCTAAATACGAATCCCTGAAACCTACTTTTCAGTCGGAAAATAACGATAATTCGTTGGCTTTAATGGATCATTTTACGGAGCTATCAAGATGGTTTGACCCATTTATCTCGTCGGGCTCTCGGATTCAGTTAATCAGATCCGGGTGTTTAAATCTGTTAAAACGGTTAGAGTCGAACCGAGACAAGACACGAGCCAAGCTCAAGCTCATCAACGGACTAACTCATAGCTCAGGGATTCTCGTTTTGGCTCTAACCACTACATTGATTGTAACCATAGCCTCTCACGCCTTTGCTTTGATCATAGCCGGTCCGACTCTTTTAACCGGTAGATTCAAACCGGCCGGTTTAAGAAACAAGCTAACGAAAACAGCTGCTCGGCTCGACGTGGCTGCAAAAGGTGCTTACATTTTAAGCCGTGACTTGGACACGATAAGCCGGTTAGTGACTCGGATTAACGATGAGGTGGAGCACGTTCGAGCTATGGCTGAGTTTTGGGCTGGGAGAGGGTCCGGTCGGGTTCGAGCCAGTGAAGAGGTGGCTCGAGAGTTGAAGAGATGTGAAGAGAGCTTCAGTGAAGAGCTTGATGAGCTTGAAGAACATATCTACTTGTGTTTCATGACTATTAATCGGGCAAGGAATCTTGTGGTTAGAGAGATTTTGGATCCTGATGATCCACCTGATTGTTCATTCGCTCCCAAATCCAAATAATTAATTTGTATTATAATTCCTTACAATTGTATAATTTCTTAGTATCTTACCTTGTATTAGATTTGTATTTAGTATTTACCATAAACTGTTTGAAGTTTATATACTCTTTGGTTAAAAAAAAATCATATTCTACAAAAATATCCTAAGTCCAGTATATAGTAATCGAATGAACTATCTATGCCAAGATGCGTTCAGAATGGCTTGCCCAGCAAACTTGTTCTTAAGTTCATCTGTTGTAATGTCATATTTAGGCAAAACTTTGCATGCATTATTGTATCTCTCCTCGCTCTCAATTTATTGACTTGCGAAGCTGTCTTTACATATTTTAACCACGAAGACGTGCATACTATTATTATGCTCTGCAATATGTTACTGTATATTCCAAAGAACATATTAAAAGTTTGAACTATATTTAGATACTAAATTATGATTATCAAAGTTTACCAATAAAATTGTGTATCACCGTTATCTCACCTATTAGTTTTTAAATAAATATAATTTCTTTAATAAACATATTTAAAGTTTCATAAGCTTTATGTTAATTAATTAATCGCAAGTTATATTAAAACTAAGTAAAGTCACATTCAACACATCAATTATGCGAGCTTTGTATATGTAGGATATGTTTCAGTATATACTTGTTATAATCAACCTTCTTACGTTATTTTATTTCACATCATGTCATTTTTCTAAATATTCAATGTATTTTAATCTTTAAAATTTATTCTACATAGTATATTCGATAATTATCTTTTAATATTCTTATTTTTGGGGGCAGCATTAATTAGGGTTCAACAAAAAAAGATAAGGTTCAAAGTAAATAAAATAAAAAAAATCGAAATACGCATATAGTAAAAGAAAATACACAGAGATTCACACACTGATTGAAAAAGAAAAGGACAAAAAACGAAATGTAAATGCAAAATTTCTTTTTCTTTCCCTTATTTGATGAAAATATGTTTATCTTGGAAAAGAGTGGAGGAGAGGTATATCTTTGTAACAGCTGCAGCGTACTTTTTTTTTTATCATTTTCACTTAAGATATGTATCGTAGAGAAGACTCTCCAAAGTATCAACAAATTTATCGGTGTAGCCAGTTAACAATCCAGGACTAACCAAAATCTCATTCAATTCGGCGTGGTTCCTCCTCACTCGGCGCCCTATTTCGCTATCTTTATCCATCACAGACATGATGGCATCGCTCAGGTTTTCTTTAGAGAACCATCCTGTTTCTTCTCTCTCCACCTCTACGGAGACCTCAAGCTCCTCTGTGAGCAATCTCGTGTTGAGAACCTGATCAGACAAATACGGAAGCAGTACTATCTGGCAGTCACTCATCAGAGACTCCCACATTGACCCGAATCCGCAATGGCTCACAAAGCAACCTACTGATGGATGAGCCAAAAACAACGGCTGCTGCACCCATCCTCCCCACACCACTCCACGCCCCTTCACCCGCTCCTCGAACCCTTCCGGTAACGCTTCTTGAATCGTCTTTGCGCATCTTGGTGGCTTTACCGCTACAAAAAATGGTAAACCTGTGAGCTCCATTCCTAGACAGAGCTCTTGGAACTGGTCTTTCTCGAGAGTGATTTGGCTGCCTAGTGCACAGTACACCACAGAGCCTGGCTCGAACCCGCTCAGCCAAAGATTCCATTGATCTTCAAGTGGTTTACTCTTGTCTGGCTCAGGAAGCATTGGACCCGTCAAGAGGATTTTCTTCTGGTACTGACGAGCCAAATACTCGCAGAATTTACCTTCGATCTCTTCGCAGTTCCTATTCGAGATGAAATCGCTGTTCGTGATTGCTGTGGTGACCCGGAAGTAAACTTCATTGTAGTAGACGGATAAGGACAACAAGGCGTGAGCATCATGTGCGCGGTACAAGACCTTTGATGAAGGATAACCAGGTGGAGGAACTCCGAGCTCAGCACCAGGGACAAGGTCGTGAGCTATGGTGTTGGCTGATACAATGTTGTACATCATACTCTTGACACTATGCTCTCTTGCCACCTCCGGAACCCAGTAAGCAAGATCGAAAAAGATCAGGTCCGGTTTCAGGGCACAAACCGCGGCTTCGACCTGGTCGCGTGTCAGGTCAAAGGCTTCGGTGAAGTTCTTCCACAACGTGACGGGGATATCGGAGACGGTGTCGGTGCCAGGAGGGAGACCATCCACGTGGGGAACAGTGATGAGGTGAAAGACGATGCTGTCTGGGAACAGATTGAGGTGTTCCAACTGTTTCTGAGCTTTCTTGGGCAGCAAGAAAGTAACCCTATGACCTTTCTCAGCTAACTTATTGGCTAGATGCAAGTAAGGAGTCATATGACCAAAAGCGAACATTGGGAACATAAAAGCGTGGAACTTTTGTCGTCCCATTTTTCTTATCAAAGTTTTCGAAACAAAAGCAGAACACAAAAATATAAAGTATTCAAAGGAAGCTAAAATAAGAAATATTTGCTTCTGTTTTTTCTTTCTCTTCTTTTCGGCTTTGAAGTTTTTGCGATCGAGATGCTCTTCCTCTTCCAAAGACATCCGTATATATATATAGTGGAGGTGTGCGAAAATTCCACAGATATTAAGTAAATCACGATTATAATTACTCCTACCACGTCTGGTAACGTCCCAACGGGTCGTCACGAATTACGTCAAAAGTCAGAACGTTGATTTGTTTTTGTTTTTCTTTATGATTAGAATTTAGAGCATGTGTTTAAATGATTATAATAAACTATATGAACAGGTAATCTTCAGTAAATAAATCCCTTAAATCATTTTAAAATGTATTATATCCATATTTTTATGTATATGAAAATCACTGATATCTTTGAAGATATTTCCAATCCAAGTATCAACCCACTCCGTGTAACTTAAACGGGATTCTTGCACTTCTAACCCACAATTTGAAGTCAATGGCAAAAGTAACCTGCTGTTTTTTTCATTTTAGCTTCACCCTGTTTTTCCAGATAATAACGAAAATGCCATTACTTTTTTGGCCGGTGGTCTACGGCTGAGGTCTACGATATCCACCAGAAGACCAACTGAACCTCATCCTCTACACTTATTAACGAAACTGCCACTCTCATCAATGAACTCAACCACCATTTTCAACCAACTCCAAGCTTTTAATGCTTCATACTATAGTTGTGAAACTCCAAACATAATTCTACATCCCTTACATTCTAACTCTATCATTTTCTCCACATTTTCATCCCAAAAACTCTCTAATTCTACTTTTTCATATTTCAAGTTCTTGATTTTCTCAAAATCGGGTTTGTGGCTTTCCTCACCACCGCCGAACGGTTGTGAAGGCTTAAAGACAAAGTTTCATCCCTCGGCGGCCCTAAAGACGACGGCCAGGTTGTGGTTTACTCCATTTTCGTTTTTTCAGATCTGAGTCGATATCGTAGATCTCAGGGTTAGGTCTATAGGTCAACGCATAGGTTAGTTTTGCAATTGACTAAGACAAATCTGTGGAGTTAGACCGCGTAGAGAGTTCTAAATAATCCCTTTGAAAACAAAAAAAAATATCGTAAACCTCAAGCAGAGGTCTATTTTGAAAACAGGTTAGTTTTGCAATTGACCAAGGGAGGGCTTTTTTTTTGAGGTCTACAGATGAGGTCTATTGGTCAAAGAGGTTAGTTTTGCAATTGACTGAAATTCTGGTTTTTACCTTAGACCTCTTAATGTGGTCTATAACAACAAAATTTAAGCTGACGTCTACGTCAGAGGTCTACATAGGTTTTAGATCTCAGTCTTAGGTCTACCTTAAAAAGTTGGTCAACGCAAAATAATAGGAGGTCTACGATAGTGGTCTACAGGTGGAAAAAAATTTCAAACAATTGCAAAAGTAACCTGTCTGAGGTCTACAGATTTCGTAGACCTCCCCAGTAGACCGTATAATTTTTCTAGACTACAGGTTGAGGTCTATTTTTTCGTGAGGTCTACCCAAATTTTTTGGATGAATTGCAAAACTAACCTCTTTTTTTGTAGACCGCATTTGTAGATCTCAAAAAAGTCTTCCCTTGGTCAATTGCAAAACTAACCTTTTTTAGACCTCTTTAGTAGGTTTACGTCTAGATCTGGTTGGAGGTCTACATTTTTTCCGTTTTTTAAAATCGATTTTCTGCGAAATTTATAATTGTTTTTGTTAATTTTTTTTCATAAATACTTCTGTTAGCCTAATAACTTGTCCCTATGAGAGTTTTGCATGCTAATGTTATGTAATGAAGGTTGTATTAGATTTTTGGTTAAATTTGGTAACTTGGTTAAACTCTGTAGACCGCAGCCCAATGTGGAGGTCTAACGTTTCCGTCTACAGGGCATCCATCAATATATATTAATGTGTTTTCCCTTTGGTTTTCATGCAGATCAATGGTTTGTTTGGCATCCGTGTATGGAGTGTGGACTATCATGGTATTTTGAGGTTGATAAAACGAGAGGAGGTAGAATGTTCTACCTGCAGGATGATTGTAAACATGAAGAGCTGGTTGAAATGGTTGTGAACGACTACATGTTGCAAGTTAATGGCGAGCTGCTGGAGTTGTCATATCCATTACCAGCTGCTATGATGGAGAAATTGCCAACGGATTCACCTCCTATGTATGTGACGAACGACAGACAAGTTGGGAGCTTGGTGGAGTTATGTAAGGAGCATGTGGTCCGTCTTTGCGTCTCGACCCGCGTTGGTATGGGAAGGAACTACAACGAACCAATACATGAGTGTGTCCAAGAAGAAAAGTCTGAAGAGGTGGATAAAGAAGACGTGGAAGAAGAATTCGGTGATGAAGGCTGGGATGATAACGAGTCTGATGATGTAAACTGGAATGACAAAGCATGGGATGTAAATTCAGAAGATGAATCTGATGATACTCATGACAATGATAGTGCTGATGATGTCGACAACCCCGACGATATCGATGCAGATTATAGTAAGTATGGCAAGGTGAAAGATGAGGAAGAGGGTGAAGAGAGTTTGTCTTTCCGTGAAAGGCTCCGTAGAGGTGTTTGGAATGGTGGAAATGGAGGGTTCACAGGCACTTGGTCTGACACTATTCTGGTAAATCACAGCTATGCCTCTAAAGAAGCCCTTCTTTCTGAGTTGCGACTGACGGCTGTGATGGCAAGATTCGCATTTAAAGTCTACAAGTCCACTACGGATTTGTTTGTGGCAAAATGTGTTGTCAATGGATGTGCATGGAAGTTGAGAGCAGCTGTGAAGAATGAACCGGATTGCTTCTGGGTTACCAAGTACGTAAAGGGTCACACTTGTTCAATTATGGACCGTGTAGCTCACCGTAGACGAGCTACTCCAAGATATATTGGACAATTGTTTGTGGAGCGGACTGGACTCATAGATGGAATTGTCCCTCGACAAATTGCAGATTCGATGAGGATCATGTTTGGTCTGAATCTTACCTATACAACGTCATACCGGGCTCTCAAATTCGCTCAAGTATTTGTCAGGGGAACTCCAGAAGATGGATATGCTAACCTTCCTTCCTACCTTAGAAGACTGAAGCAAGCAAACCCTGGCACTATAACACACTGCTCTGTGATGAAGAAGATCGCTTCAAGTACTGTTTTGTGGCGTTAGCGGCTTCAACAGCGGGATTTCAGTACTTGAAGAGGGTTATTGTGGTTGATGGAACACACCTTACTGGGAAATACGGAGGCACATTACTCGTGGCATGTGGACAAGATGCAAACTTTCAAGTATTTCCTCTAGCATATGGTGTTGTTGATGCGGAGACTAATGAGTCTTGGGGATGGTTTTTTGATAAATTACAGACTTGTTTCTCACCACATCCGATGGTCATTGTTTCAGACAGAGCATTGTCCATTGAAAATGCTTGTGTGAATGTGCTTCCATGGGTCACTAGAGGAATATGCTACTACCATCTTCAGCAAAATATTATCAAGACATATGGTGGTAAGGAGCTTATGTATCTGGTTAAAGGAGCTGCTTATGCCCACACTCTAGCTGAATATAATCGGTGCATGGACTCACTAAGAGCTGCGCACCCAGACCTCGCAGCATACATGGAGTTGGCCGACCCTAATGATGTACTCAATATTTACATCATTTAGACATAGGATTTCATGCATATTTGCATACTTGCATCACTCATTACACTCATTATAGCTCAATTACCTTCCATTGTATGCATTCATACCATTTAGAGCATACATTGCATACATTATGCATTTGGAGTTGTATTTAGGTGTTTTTGAGGAGTTTAGAGCTAGTATGGGAGGTTGGAGATTAAAAGAATACTCAAGAGTTCGCAACCAGGATGTCAAACAGGTTCAGAAACCTTTTTCTCGCCTTTCAGCTGAGTGTTGACCAAGAGGACGAGTTGACCCGTGTTGACTGAGCTTTGACCACTATCCATCTGTACCAAACCGGGATTAAATCACAATCTTTGGAGTCTAAACCAATTGGGAAGCAAGAAAAGTCAAGATAAATGAGTTGACCAAGGGTTTTGGAGTCTCCAAGTATAAATAGATTAAAGTCCTATTATTTTAGGCATCTTGTAATCTCTTTCTCTTAGACTAAAAACTCTTTCCCCTTTGTTCTTAATCAAAATTTGGATCTTTTATGAGTTTAATCTATTTGAGAGTGTTTACTTGATCATTGTTTCTCCCTTCATCTTCCTAATCATGATTATCAACTCCCTTTTCTTTGGGCTAGTTGATTTAATCATGATTAGGGAGTAGTTGTTTTAGGGTTTAGGGATGGGTTAGATTTAGAGAGATTTAATGATTGATTGATGATGCTTAGGCTTAGATTGCTTATATCCTTTCTTGTTTGGTGATCTTAATGCTAGATTAACTTTGAGAAAAGTGATTTAGATCAAAGGACATTTCACACCCACAAGGTGTTTGATGAAATGTCCCAACCAACTAAATCAAGAGATTTACATTCTTAGCTCATGATAATGATTGTTTAAGGTGTTTATTGGCTTGATAGAACTTGTTTATAATGCTTGCTAATTTCGAATTTCACTAATGATGATTAGTTATGAGATTTGTATTTAACAAAGTGATTAGTTCCATGAGAGTGGATTAGTCTTGCTTAATGTGTTCTTGCCTAAGGATTATCATTCACTTGATTGTTTGAGCATCATAGATTAGTCAAAGAGTCTCTCTAGTTCAATGATCCCATCCCAAGACCCATTTGCTTTGCTTGTTTTACTTCTTTAATTTTCGTTTTTGTATTTATCTCTTGAGTTTGGCTTCTTGTTTCAAACTCTTGCTTCAATATTTATGTTTGATTCTCATTTAGGTTGCTAGATAAAAACCTTTCTTTGATTTGGCTTAGCTTAATAAGTTTCATGCATTCCTAGTGTTTTAATCTTGATCCCATTGGATTGACACCTCAAATGCTACAATGACATGAGTAGTGGATTTGAGTAATTGGTAGCAAAAAGCCAACTATCACCTAAGCTTTGGTCAAAAGTACATTTTCCCGGTGATAGGTACAACATCAAGACGAGCAACATTGCTGAATCTATCAACTCGGCTATTAAAAAGGCAAAGGGTTTTCCCATACCCTCTCTACTCCAGTTTATTAGAGAGATGTTAGGGCGGTGGTTCTACAAAAGGCGTGAAGATACTTTAAATCTGCAGACACCATACAGCAAGGGAGTTGAGTATATACTGGCCATCCGTGAACATTACGCTCAGTCAATGGATGTTCAGCGGATAGATGCAACTAGTTTCCATGTTGCTTCTGGACGTTCGCACTATGTAGTTGATCTAGAACAGGGTAAATGTGAGTGTGGAGTGTTCCAAGTCGAGAAAATGCCCTGTACACATGTCCTTGCAGCGCTTGCCTCAGCTGGTGTGCACGTCTCACACCATACATGTGACACATACTCGCAGGAATGCTTGTATACGACCTACGCCCATCCTATATATCCTGAGGAGGAAATTGACAACCACAAGAAGAAGAGCGAGCGGTGCCGACCTCCAAAACCGAAGGATGGGCCTGGTCGTAAGAAGAAATCAAGATGGCAGTCATGGCTGGAAATTTCTAGGAAGTCTAAGAAGAAAGGCAAGAGTCGAAGGAAGAAGCCCAAAGTTTACAGCTGCTCCAAATGCAAGCAACCAGGACATACGCGCCCGTATTGTGTAAGCTCGTGCGTCCCGCATTCCATTAGTTTTCATTACACAACCTCTGTAATTTGTTTGCTCTTCACTAGGTGTCCAAGCCTGCTGAGAAGTAAACTCGGCGGTCTACGAGCGGTCTTCCGGAGGTCTACGAGGCTTTCACGTAGCTTCTCTGGAGGTCTACGAGGTCTACGAGGCTTTAACGGAAATTCAGTGGAGGTTTACGATGCCTACTAGACGTTATCTCGCGATCTGCTTATACATTCGTGGAGGTCTACGAGATGTTCTCTGGCGGTCTATTATTGCTTTCGTACTATTTGATCATTATTATTGTTTAATACTAAGTGATGATTTCCTTTTTCGAGACAAGCCCTAATACTAAAGACGGATTTCATTTCATTGCTTAATGCGAGTCCGAATAGATACATCCGAAATAGTTATACAAAATAGTTATACAAAAGATGAGATCAATGTTGTCAAGAGGGGCCTCAACAAAATATAAACCCTCCCTTTCACCGTTAGTAGAGGGGCACAATAAAATTAACCCACCCTGAAGCCGTTACTAAAGTTAGATCAGCATCTCCCGTCGAAAGGATCAAGACCGTCCCAGTCACGGATCCTCGGTCCCTTGCAATCGGTCTCCTTGAAAATGTCACAAGCATACCTACTCCGAATTGCCTTGACGTTCTTGTTGCACAGTGAAGAGGCTGAAAAATCGTCTCCAGTTGCGTGACACTCGATGTATTTCAGACAGTAGACACCGCAATCCCCGGGACCCTTTTGCTCCGGCACACCAGCAACCCGTTCCTGAGTAAATTTATCGAACGGATAGTTGTCACATTCTTCCACCAGTGCCATCTCGCGTAACATGTA